GCGGAGCCACGTTAGCTATAATTTATTAGCTTTACCCCAACACCATCGGGCCCCCTCTCTTGAATTCTTTCTCCCTTCGTTTCGCTCCTAGCCTAGCCACCATCGCTTCCCTCTCTCTCTCTCTTTCCGATTCAGAGAGAGAGAGAGAGAGAGAGAGAAGAAACTCGGCCGCCGCCGATCCTCGCCTACAACTCGCCGCCGTATGGCCCCTTTTGGCCGGTGGCTTATGCTAAAACCGAGGCCCCCTGGTTTCTCTAATTGACAATCGGCCGCGTTCTCCAACCCGTGGAGGAGGACTCGGGCCTCGAAGGTGGGAACCGACAACGACCGCGCCGCTCCAACATCGTATTGTCTCGCGTTTTTATTCCCTGCTCGCTCTCCGTCGTAACTTCGTCGCTACGCGCGAAGGGAGAAGAAGGGAGGGACGAAAGGGTGGAGGCGCTCACGAACCGCATACCTCGAGATCACGCTCGTTTACGCTTTCCACGGATTCGCGCGAGAATGGCCAAGGAAGGAGGAGGGGGGAGAGAGGAGGAGGCACAGGCCCTGCGTGCTCTCTCGGTCGCGGCTCGAATTAACGAGTAACAACGGGGCCACCCTGACCCGGGCGCCAACGTGTCCCATTAAAGGCGCCCTTTTTCTGCCAACCGGTCGAGGCTCGACTCTGCCGTTGCTGCTGCTGCTGCTGCTCGTTATGAAAATTCCACCGGAGGATAAAATTGCGTCCCGCCTTTGTTTCTTTTCTACTGATCGCAGAAAGCCTTCGGACCTTTCATCCCCTTCAGCCCCCGAATTAAGGCCATCATCGCGCTGGCTGATCATGCGACGCGAGTTTGTTCCCGATGTTTCTCGACTTTCGAACCGAGAAAAGAAGAAGAAGAAGAAGCAAGATCGGTTAAATTCGAGGCAACGTACTACTATTATTACTACTACTACTAGTTTTACGACTACTAGGTTCGCCCTATTCCAGGATGTCGTTCGGGAAGGGCAACGTTCGAGGTTTATCACGTCGGATGTTTGCTTTAATTAGCTCGTTCGCGTGGCCTCGGATTTAATTAAGAATGGAACAGCTTTATTGCCACGGAAACGTTCTCCCCTGGTGTCGCGGTGAGAGACCACCACCACCACCACCACCACCATCAAGGGAGCTCGGCCAAGGGGCGACTCGAGGAAACCGGCGAGGGGGGATTTTGTTTTCAGTGGCCGGAAGAAGAAGTTCCTCGAACGAATCGATCTGAACGGTGCTGGAACGATCCAGAAGTTTCTTCCCCCGCCTTTCCGCCCCCTCCCTCTCTCTCTCTCTCTCCCCTCGGTCCCCGCTATTAGCCAACCCGTAATTTATTACTTTCCACCTTAATAAGCATAATAATCGCAGCGGCTGGTTGTTCGCGCGCTCGCAGCCACCGACCTCCGACCCCTCGACGATCTTTAAGGTAGCCTGCGACCGGTTGCGGACGTTTAATGATGCTCGGGGGGGCCAAACCCGATTCGCCTCCTCGCCTCGCGAATAAGGGCGAATCCGAGAGGGAGGAGAGAGAGAGAGAGAGAGAGAGAGGAATGAAGGAACAAGGGACCTGGTGGAATTGTAACTCCTTCCACAATTCTGGTTTCGTTGTACTTTTTTTTTTCTTTGCTCTCCACTCGGGTACCAACTTTCTTCTCCTATTTATCTTTTCCTATTATGGGAGAGGAGGGGGAGGGGGATCGAGAACCGGGATACCGGTACCCATTCCCCGAGAGACAGACCCTCCTGCGGTTTACAACTGTGTTTAGGAAGATGTACCGCCGCGCTCCAAGATATACTACAAATTGTCGATCTCTGTCGTGTTGTTTCGTTTCTCGATATTTACGATAACCAACCTCCGATTTTGCGATCACCTACCTCGAGGAGCGAGAGAGAGGAAAAAAAAATTCCTTCCAAAATCGACGATATATGATATATCGAATAAGAATAAGAACCGAGAGTAGGCGAGTACTGGATGTACGCGCGAGCGTATCTCGGTAGCCAGACAGTTGGTCGTATCCCGGATCCGTGGCGAGGATTGCAGCTCGTGCTGCACGCGGTACGCAACGAGACACAACGAGAAGAAGGAAAGAAAGAGGAGGAAGAAAAAGAAAAGGTGGAGAGAGAGAGAGAGAGAGAAAGAGGAGAGAGGCTGGGTTGAGATGCGCTGTCGCGCGGCGTGGCGTGGCTCGCGGTAATAGGATTTCACGTAAGCAGCCTCCCAGGCAGCGGCCAAAAATCGAAGGAGCTTACGAAGGAGATGCGGCCGGTGCAGCAGCGAGCGTGCTGGCTCGTACGCGGAACGGCCGAGGGGGAAAAAGGAAGATGAGGAGGAGGAGACCGGGGGCGGAGGAAGGCGACGCGACACCGAAGAACGAACGGGGAGAGGAGGGCGGAGGACACAAAGGAGGAGAGGAAAAGGAGAGAGAGAGAGAGAGAGAGAGAAAGAGAGAGGGCAACGAGAAAGAAAGACGTTCGGCCCGTACAATTTTAATTAACCCGGTACCGGGTAGCCGATCGCGATCGAATCGGGTGCACGATCTACAAGGAATCTACATAAGATCCTCCACTCGCGGCTACAACTCAATCCCCTCTTTCTATTCCGCTCTCTCGGCGGGCCTTAAGCCTTAACCGGCCCGCCACGGACTCTCTCTCTCTCTCTCTTTCCGCCGTGGACACGAAGAAGAGGCGCGCACAATCTTTTGCCAAGCTCCCGCCGCTTGGCTACCCCTCGTACCCTTATCTCGGCGAGCATCGAAGATAGCGAGCTCTCCACCGTTGCTCCTCGCCGAGCTCATATTGTTCTCCTCCGTGCGCGCCGTGTAACTTACCGGGCGAACGAGAACGGAGCGCGCTCGCTCCCTTCCCCCTTTTCCTTCTCCTTTTCTCTTTCTTTCTCTCTCTCTCTCTCTCTCTCTCTCTCCCTTTTTCATCGAGAGATCCTTAACGTAGGTGCGTTCATCGACGTAGATCCTTAACGTAGTTTAGGATTCCATCGCGCCGCGTTCCTCCTCGAAAATCCGCCCGGTTTCCTTATAACAGTCGTCGGCTGGCTCCTCTCCTCTCCGGGAGGAGCGAGGTAGTCCGGTTCTCGAAAGAGATTCTTCTCGAGAGGAGAGAGAGAGAGAGAGAGAGAGAGAGAGAAGAGATCTCCGCGGAGGACTTTGCTCGTGTTCGCGCGTCCGCGCGTATTAGGGCGCCCCGTCGAAGCGGCGAACAACGCAGCCATACTCGGAGAAGCTCGGTAACACGATAGCGGCCGTATGTAAAACCATCTGGTGTAAAACGAGCTGCTGGCTCGTTCGAGTATTAAATCGGCCCTCTCTCACCCCTGGCTACACCCTCCTCCTCCACCGCGCCCAGGCTAACGCACTCTTTTCGTCGATCCTCTCGTCGATCAGAGGCCGCCCTCGATTCTCTTCCTCCCACGTCGATCCTCTTTTATCCCCCTTCCTCTCGCCCCTCGTCTCTTCCGCGCCTGGGGTCGCGGCCGTCCCTTTATCCCTCCCTCCCTCCCTCCCCTCGGAGGAAAGCGCACTCCGCGGGCCCCGCGCTCGTGGACGGCCACGAGGAATCCGCGCTGATCCGAATCCTCGCGTTCCTCTCCTCCTCCCCGCGCACGCGTCGACCTCGGGACAACGTCCGCTCGTCCGACGTCCTCTCGCGTTAAAGTCCGCCGGTTTAATCGGCCGATCGACCGATCGCGGAACAAAGGACGGCCTCCTCGCGGGCGGCGATCGCCGGCGAGATATATCCATCCCGTAGAAGAAAGAATGCCGCGAGGAGGAGGAAAAACGCGGTCGAAGGTATATAACACGAACGTCTCGGGCGAGGGACGTCGTTAAGCGCGTTTCCACCCGTGGACGGCCGTGGAAACGACACTTCGTACCGGCGGTTAATGGGCAATTAAAGGCCGGCTTTACGTTTCGCCTCGAATATATTAAGCGGCCTCTGTTCTCGTCGTCCTTGTTGTTATCCGACCGAACGCTCGAAAACTGGGACGGGGAAGGATCACGCTCTCGCTCTCGTTCCCCCTCCTCCTCCTTCTTTTCCTCCTGCTCTGTCCATTTCCACTTCTCTCCTCTCAAAATTCTCTCGGGAGAAGGATGCGCGGATCCTCCAACTTTATCCTCGTTATATCTTAGACGCGCGCGTTAATTTCGATCGTGATTATACGATCGCGGTGCATTCTCTCTTGGCACGCGATCGAGCCGCCCGCGGAGAAAGATCCGGTCGAACGATTCGGCTCCGTCGAAATCGCGTCCGAATTCCCTCCTCCCGTTCTTTCTTCTCCACTTCCTTTGCAACTTTGCATGCCGGACGCTAATAATAATAATGATAATAATGATAATGATGATAATAATAATAATAATAACAACGAGAACAAGACAGGCCGATCTATCAGCCGGTTAATGAGAACGAAGGCGCGGGTACACGACGCCACGGTTCGCGTACCCTTGTTAATCGCGTTACCTGCTCGAGACACGCGTCGCTTATCTGCGATGGTTTTACAACAACGATATTTCAACGATACTTCAACGAATAAACGTTTTCTTTACACGGACTTGGATATCTGCCAGCGAACCAGCTTTTTTTTTTTTATTCCATTTTATTACGATCGAGCCGCTTCGCCAACTTTTCCCAGTTTTCAGTTACTTTTAACTGGAGGTGAACGTTGAACCGTGCACATCTTCGACCAAGATTTCGTAACCGAGCGGTGGGAAGAGAAATAATAACGTAGAGAAGAGGTAGAAAAGGTCCTGAAAATCGCCGTTCTTTTCGAGCCTTAATGGCTCCGCGAACAAGAGTATTATCCTCGACAAATTAATCGTCGACGCAGCGAGTCCGTCTTCGCGCGGACGACAACCGCGAAGGATGGAATAGGAGGATCGAAGAGGAGGGTCGATGAGGAGACTAATGTCCCTTAATGCAAGCTCGCGAGAGGGAAAGGATATAATAAGAGGAACGACCTCGGCTAGTGAGATGCGGCACTGACCTTTCTCGTAGTTGATTTGCCTTTCCTGCTGCCTCGCGTTGTCGGCCGCGACCTTGAGCAGGCCCTGGATATTCCTGAGCAGGGTCTCCGTACTCGAGACCGAGGGATCCTGGCCCCCCTGTGAAACGGCAACCGCCGCGGAGGCGATCTGGGAATAGTTGAGGGCCTGAGGACTCTCCGATCCTGGCGCGGGCAACGGCAGGTTCTCCGGCACGTCCGACAGATCTGAGAAAAAGAAAAGAAAAACCACTCGTTCGCCTCATTTCTTTCACCCTTTCTCTCTTTCTTTGCAACAATAATTCGACGCAACGAGAAACCCCCCCTCTCCTTTCGAGATCTCTTTCCGATTTTTTGTCCAGCGCATATATATATATATATACATACGTAGGAGAGAGCGGTTTGCCGATAAATTTCGTTCAAGGATCGTGGGGTACAACGTTCGAGGGAGGTCTCGCGCCCCTTCCCTCCTTTCTCGCTCGCTCTCTCTCTCTCTATCTCTCCCTCCTTCCTCAACTTACAACGCGTGCGTGTTCCAGAGTCGTAATCCCGCGACGACTACTTGTTACCCTTCGCCACGTCTCTGATTTAACGTCACCGCGGACGAATTAAATTCGCGAATTAAAACGGCACTCGGCCCGACCGATTAGCCACGATCGACCCCTTGCCGCATACATACCCGTCGCCGTGTCGCTCGTTTCCAGCCGGGCGATTTATTTATTTCTCCTGCCTTCGTTTCGGCAGGGAAAACTCTCCTCGAGATTCCACGAAGGACGCGCGATTCTTCTTCTTTTACCCCCTCTCTCTTTCTCTCTCTCTCTCTCTCTCTCTTTCTCCATTTTCTACTCGCGGCTCACTTAGGGAGAGAAGATCGCGAGGAGGCGACGAGGGCTGAGAGGAGGAGGAGGAGGAGGAGGAGGGCAGGAGGAGTAGCCTCGTTATTCTCTCTCTATCGACGATTAGCCTGGAAGCATGGTTTTCGTGGTCGGGCTGCGAAAGAAGGATCCGGGGCCCGGGGATCGGTGGTATAAAGGATGCCTTATGGTTATTGGCCGGAGAGAGGTCTCGCAGAAGAGAGAGAGAGAGAGAGAGAGAGAGTGGCGAGACAAGACGTCTGCGTGGGTTCTACGTAGCTTAAGTGACCGGTCCGCGCGCTCCTACGGCCCACACCGTACGCTTTAGCCCAGCCTTGCTTTATGGCCAATGATACGTGCTTTATTGTATCGTCTTTTAATTATCAGCGCGCACCTACAACGCCACGGCATTCGGCGTTACTTATTGCCATTGGCCGATTTAATGCTCGCGCGGCTCGCTTCGCTCTGCGAACCCAACCTTTCGCCGGCACCTTTTGATAGCGAACCATCCACGCTCCCTCCCTCCCCCCTTTCCTTCCACTCTTTTTCCCTCCCCGCGGTGGACCACGCATCGATGTCCCTCGCTCGAAAACCCATTACAATTATCTTGGCCCGAGGCCAACGGGCCAACGGGGTGGGGGGAGGAGAAATTTCGCGACGACTCTCGAGAAAAAAAAAAAACGGAGGGGGAGGATAGGAGGATGGAATGGGAAAAACGAAATCTCCAGGAAGTTCTCGTCGGCGAGAAGAGGGCGGACGAAAATCGGCGGTGGATCGGATTCCAGGAACGAGAGCGAGATAGCGGCGCGTCTCATTAAATCAGAACTGCATTCCACGGGCGTGTACACTCCCACGGCCGTTCGATGGGGTTCTACTTCGATCACCGTCGAGCACCATAGGTAGGATGTAGCCCGTGTATACGACACGCTGCGAGACACGGATTTCTTCCCCCCTCCTCCCGGCTACACGGCCACGACCGCAATTTATACGTCTAACTCGTGTCTTTCTCGAAATTTAGGGGCCCAGCCTCGCGCCAGTTTACCGTTTTCCATCCCCCCTTCGAGTTTCTTCCATTTGCAGTCCTCCCTCCTTTCTTTTTCTTTCTTTCTTTTTTTTTTTTTCTTCCTTTTCTCTTTTGCTCGCGCGACGATCGATCGGCGGAAAGGGAGATGTCCCGCCGTCCCGTTCTCGTCGCACGAGAGGCGAAGAGTCGCAGCCTCTAATTGGAATATCCAATTAACGCGCGGACAATCGGCGAATCGATTAGGAATCAGCGTGATTATGACGCTTGGGTGGATCGAAGCGGCGGGACAGCGACCGAGATAGCACCGCTCGGCCCTCGGAGATTTTTATCTCGACCCATCTTTCATTATTAAAATGAAACTAAATACCGAAGATGCGTTGGTCTAACGACCGAACCAGTGGGCCCTTCCGCCAGTGGTGCTTCTTCCCCCCGGATCTCTTCTTTTTCTCATCCACCACGAAATCGAAATCGTGGGAAACGTTTCCATCTGATGAATCAACACGTCGAATAATATTCGTTGCCAATATCCCAAGAATACCGTTTTCCCCGTCGAAAGAAACGCGATTCTCGGCCGGAATATACGTTATCTCGTTCGAGACGAGAAAGGAAGAAAAAGAGGAAGGGAAGGAGGAAGAAAGAAGGAGAGGGAAAAAAAGATGGAAGGCGCGTGAAATTGGCCGCGTATGAAATTTTCACCGCGCGAGAGATACGCATCCCTGACAAGTTTTGACAACCGCTGAGGAGAGGAGGTCTCGGTCGGTCGGTCGGTCGGTCGGTCGGTAGATGGTGGAAGACGAATCCCAGAGAACGTCGTTCCGCGGCGGGCCCCGGGATGATCGATGAGAAGGTCTGACCTACCAGTCGTCCCGGGGAACTCATCTTTAAACGCGCTCTGTCCGCTCCATTCGATATAATTATTTTACGTATGCGCGCCGCGCGGAACGGAACGGCGCACAACATCGTTCCGACTTTCGGCACACGTCAAATCCGGCGTCACGCTCTACCTGCCTCTAATTGATCGACCACGATCGCCACGTCCGACTTTATCGATCGACGCTTAGGCGCATCCTATCTCACCTTCGTCCTTCTCGTTGTCGTCGTCCAGGTCCTCGGACAGATTGTCGTCCTCCTCCTCGTCGTCTTGGGAACGGTGCGACGCCTCTGCCTCGCTTCCGGAGTGCTCGCCCACGCTTCCGCTTCCCGCCGTCTTGGACAGGTTGAGCACGGGACTGTGCCCGTTCGAGGAACCTGTCGACACCATTCTTTCGTCAATCTATCTATATGTATATACGTATGTGCGTGTGTGTGTGTGTGCGTGCGTGCGTGTATCGATCGGATCGAACGATAACCAAAACCGTATTCTCGCGCGATTCTCCCGTTCTTCTTTCCTTCCCGAGAATGGAATACGTAGAATACGACAGGGATTGATGGATATTATTTGCACCCGTGCAAATCTTCTCGTTTCTTTCGAGAGGGAGGAGGAGCTCTCCCTCCCTTCCTATTATTGTTTCGTATCCGAGGCATTTTAATCCTGACGTGGATAGATATTGTTCGATCGGTCGTGTCTCGAGGCGAGGAGATTCGAGTGGATCGGAGGAGGATGACCGCGGTCGATTAAGCACACCGGTCGACGTCCCCCATCTCCGGTCGGTCGGTCGTCGAAATCCCCGAACAAGAGGGAAGAAGAAGAAGAAGAAGAAGAAGAAGAAGAAGCGGGGTTCCGTGGGGTCCGGGGATCGGATTCGAACTCGAAACGTCGGGGATTGTCGCCCCCGTCCAGTTTGCGCGCACTCGCCACCGGGATAAAAGGTTCGATCGAACGGATTAAAATATTACGGGGAATGAGAAGAAAGGCGGCGCGTTCGGTGGTGCCCCGGTAACCCGATATCGGACTTAATCTCCCCGGCCCTCCTAAACGCTCGGCCGGGCCAGAGAAATAAAGAAATCGAGAAAGGGACACGCTCGGTTAACTCGTCCTTCCTCCTTTCCAGGCCTGGCCTCGAGCGGCCAGCGCCTCTCCATCCGCGATCCCCCACCGATCGAGGGGACGTTGAACATCTCCCCGCGACTTCCAATTACGAATATTCGCGCCGCGAGTCGAAGGCGAAGGAGACTCGCAGAGGAAAGTAGTAGAGAAAAGATAGGGGAGAAGAGAAACGCGCAAGTGATCTCCTTCCCCGTCTCTAAGAAGGAGAGAAGGATCGATGTATCGGCGCGGTGTACCTCGACCCGATAATACGAACTCGGCGTTATTCGGCCAGTATTATCGGCCGATTACTGTAATTACGGTTAAACGAGCGTACGCGTATTTATCTTACCATTGTGCGAGCTCAGATCCCTGGGTTTTTGGTCCAACGCGAGTGCCCTCTCGGCGTCTCCTCTCTCCTCGCGGAGCCTGGAATCAGCAAATCAGACGGGGGGAAAATGTTTAGTATCGATTCCAACGGGATGGACGCGAATCGGGGCGGGCGCGGAGGTGGACTCGGCCGCGCTCCCTCCCCATTAATTAAATAATTATTCCCAAGTCTTGGACCCAACCCGGTCGCGTAGGAAGATAAGTGCCGGTCTCTCTGTCGGCCGCGCGTTCCATCCGATTATCGCCGTTAATCGATTCGCTTCTTTTTTCTTTTTTTCCTCCCTTTCTCTCTCTCTCTCTCTCTCTCTCTCTCTCTCTCTTCCCCCCTTGCGGAGCTGTCGCGTATCGCCTCGAGGCGATACGCTCGTTCTCGCGTAAAACCGGCCCCCCCCCCTCTCTCTCTCTCTCTCTCCCTCCCTCCCTTCCCATCTTTTTATTTCCATCGCGACCCGTGCCAGGTAGACACCACCGTGTATCCTCTTTCCATCCGTCCCAGGATGGGAGCTGGATCGCGCGAGTTTCTCGTATTACATTGTTCGTTTCCAAGTCTCGGCCGCAATCGCCGCGTTCCAACTCGCGAGACGCCTTTTCTTTATTTTTCCTTTCCTTCCTCGAACGTTACGACGTTTTACGAGGATCTCGGCTCGTTAAGCTACACGAGCCAGCCAGCCCCTTTATGCCCCTCGCGAAACTTTTAATCCTGCCTCCTCGTATATTGTTCGAAGCCCTCGTGGGTCCGGTAGCTCGGCCGGCAATCGTTAAGATTCGCGGCCTTTATCGAGATAAACGCTCCACGGCTCCGACTGTCATCCACCTATTTGCAAATTCCTGCTACAACCGTTGTAAATTCAAATTTCTTTTCCTTCCTTCCTTCCTTTCTTTCCCGTCCCGGGGAATCTCGGGGACAATGGTGCCCTCGAAGGGGGTCGCTCTAATGGCTCGGCCAAGGAAATTATTTTACAGAGAGGGGGAGGCGGGGAGGAAGGGAAGGGGGGTGATTGTATTTACGAATTTATTTTCCACGACGCGAGGCGAGGCCAAGCAAGACGTCCAAAAATGGGTGTTTCCCGGACGATTAGACACCCTGCCTCCACCCACACTCGCCTCCTCCCCCTTCCCCGAAGTACCCACGTTTCTTTCCTCGTCCCGCAAATTATTCTCCCGGGTGTAGTTCCTTTTTCTTTCTCCCCGGGAGTAGGCGGGAGGCGCCTCCTCTTCGCACCTCGAATCGAACCGCGGACCATTAAGTAAGAAGTTAATATCATTAAGCATAATATTGGGCGCATCTGGGAGCCGCAGAGCACTTACCGACTCGCCCCAAACCACCTCCGCCCCGCAAACCCGCGAAACCGGGTCCCCCCCCCTCCCCTCCTCCCTCCCATCCTCGACCCCTCGAACCTTAATTTTTTAATGAGAAAATGCTTTCAAAGAGCCGGAGAGAAATACCGCGCGTCTACGAGCGATAAGTTACGGCCGCGTTAAGCGGAATGGAGGAAGAGCGAGGAGAGGAGGATCTCTCTCTCTCTCTCTGTCTTTGTCTCTTCTTCGCTCTTCCTTCTCCGTCTACGAGGTTAGGGCGTCGGTTTCGAGTACGAGACGCGAAGGCGAATATATGGAAACGTTGTTGTTGGAAACTCGTTCGACCACCGATTTTACGAGGCTACGAAATTTTATTCGTCATCGGGATGCGAATACCTTTCCACTCACGATCAACGGTATCGAAGTAATAAACGCTCTCTCTCTCTCTCTCTATCTCTATCTCCGAGGCGCGTCTTCGACATCGTAACGACTTAATTTCGAGGATGATTAAATTTTAATTGGTAATACGAGTCGATTAAGTCGCGACCGATGGATATCTCGATCCGCCTCCGTTTCGATTCCTCCGCCCGTCCTGGGCGAAATTTCGAGCATAGGATGATGCGAGGGAAAGAGGAGTCGAAGAGGAAGGAAAAGAAAGAGAAGAAAGAAGGAAGAAGGAAAAGGTTGAAATTAAGGGAAGGAAAGGGGTGATTCTCGTCATCGTCGTCGTCGTCGTCGTCGTCGTCGTCGTAAGCTCGTAACAACCGCCACGGTGTTATTAAATTTCTAATTAGTCGAATATTAGGGGCAAGCGCGAGGCAAAGGCCCCGCCGCCTTCACGGTATATCCAGGCATGGTGGAGCGTTTGCGTGCGCGTTTACGCGCGCCGGCGTGCGTTCAGCCGCGCGCGTTTACCTAGCCTCGCGTGAGTAGACACCTGGTAGAAGCGAGCCGAGCCTTTACGCCCGCGTTAATACATCATGGATTTCATTACGCGTGCCTACGGGTTACCGAGCGCGGCCGGGCCGTGCTCCTAGTCGCGAATAATTAGCGAGCGCCCCGCTTCCCGAGGACCGACAGCTTCAACCCCCTCCCCTTCCTTACCAGAAACGTCAACGGTAATTCCGCATTTTCTTTGTACGCGTACACTCCGTTTTCGCCTATCTCGTCTCGCCTGAATTTTAATAAGACGTCGTGCGAAACTTGGCAAACTTCCTCCCTCTATCCGCTCATTCATTCAAATATATATATATATACGTGGATTGCGATTTGTTTCTTCGTGAAACGGATCTTTTCTTGGATTTTCAAGAAAGTTTTTCAACAAAGTTCTTTTGTTTCCCATTTGGTGGGGTTGGAAAGGTGCAGTCTATGAACTCCCTTTTCGAGACTAATTCTGCAAAATATTGCGATCAGCTCGATAAATTGAAAGCTTGCGTAGAAGAAAAACGGCCAAAATTGGCGAAAAACCCTTACAGTTTTGGGACATTCTACCTCCATACTTGTTCCTGCCATTAAAAAATTCAATGATAAACGGTTCCAATCCGTAAGCGAAATAGAAACGCACCTCGAGGGATATTTTGTAAGTTTCCAACAATTTTGGAAAGAGGGAACAACGAGACTTGCCGAGAGATGGAAGAAGGTGATGAGAAATTAAACTTAAACTTAAACGAAATCTATTACTCGTCGTGCTCCCTTTCGGAAGCAGCAGATTTTATTTCTGCCTTTCGATCGAACCCGTCTCGTATCCATTAGCGAAACGGGGTACGTACGCGGCTAATAAGCCGAACGGAGCGATCCTTACCCACCCTTCCCCGGATCTTTGCCTTTAATTTTGATTCGGTAATGACGAACTCCGCGGGGATTCCCTCCCCGATGGCTGAGGAACGGGCGGCCCCGCGCAGCGGGAGTTCATTAACGGGTTCGTATCTCGAACGCGGACGAGTGGTGGTGGAGGAGGAGGAGGCTGGTGCGCGCCGATTCTCGATTCCGGGGGGGGGGAGGGGGGGTTCGAGACGATCGCGTTTTTCGCGCAGTGGAACCGCGAATTTCCGCGAAAAACAAAGAAAAAGGAGAAAAGTGGTTTCGACGGATTGCCTCGACGATTTTTCCGTCCGATTTTTAATCAACGCTAGTTTCAGCCGACGCCCTATGTTTGCCCGGTGTTTCGTTATTGTTGTTGTTGTTGTTCTTGTTGTTGTTGTTGTTACTTTGGCGAAAAATCAAAAGCGCGTTCCGATAATGACACGGGGGGAGGGGGAGGGGAGGGGAGGGGGGAACAGTTGTAATTTCAAGAGGACAAAGAGGGCCTCGGGGGCTAATTGGGCAAAGTATGCCCGCCACCCGGCCGCCGCGGCTTTTTCGATAAACGATACACGCGGGGAACGTCGATATTTTTCGTCCAACCCTTTCCCCCCCCCCCTCCTCCACTCTCGAGTCGAACGCGAGCGACGATTGACCGACGCCGTCGTCGTAATTTTAATTACGACCCTGGAATCCGAGGCGCGATTGCGTTACAGCTCGGAAAGGACGAAAAGGGGGATAAACGACACCGGGACGATATAATACCGGGGCGGTGGTCGGGCTTTTCGCCCCCTCGAAATTTCCACCGAGTTGAAATAATAAACGAGGTTGCGGGAGTGGTAACGGGATCCAAAGTGCGCGATCTCGAAAACGACGTCTCCCCCCCCCTCCCCTCTCTCCCTCAGCTCAGCTGTGTGACATTCGAGGCGAAAGGGGTGTCCTAACGAGAGTCCCTCTCCTTCGAGGACGTAGCGTATCCTTCTTTGTGCAAGGAAAAGAGAGGGAAAAGAGGATCCCAAAATTTCAACTTTTCGCCACCCTTTTAATCTGATCTTTCGAACGATACCACCGTTCGTTTCGGCGGATTCCGATTTTTCTTCGGCCGAAATACTCGTTCAACTCCTTCGATGATCGAAACGAAACGAAGGGAAGAAAGGAGGATGTTAGAAATTTCGTGAAATTTCCTTTCCGCCGAAGTGAAACGAACGAAATCGTTCGCTCTCCTCTCGTGGCTTCGCGTGGGGAGAAAAATATGAGAAACATAATTCAAGAACTAGAGATGGGGGAACGGGAGCAGGGAGGGGGAGAAAATTGGCTCGGGGAGAATGGGGAGAAGGCAAGACTGGCCGAGAGCTGTGTGTGTGTGTGTGTGTGTGTGTGTGTGTGGGACGAGTGTCAGAACGTTGCTCCTCCGGACGAATGGAATAAAGGGTCGGAGATGGAATCGAATTACGCTCGATCTCGAGCGTCTCGAGCCCTGCCTTTCGATTTCTGCCGGATCCGCTCGCAAATATTATCCGACGTATCGGCAGACGGACAACATTTATCAAACTGCGCGCGACCGCTCGGACACGGGGGTGGGGGAGGGGGAGGAGGCCGCGGACCGTTTCAATCACCGGATTCCTAGGATTCCGGTTTCTCTTCCGCTCGTCGATCAAATCGATGCCGCCTCGGAGTAAGACGTCCGCCTCGCGGCTATCATCCCCCTTCTTGCTTTCCAGACTCGTTAACGTTTCTATATATACACGTCGCTCCTTCCAATCCGTGAGATCGAATTTTATACATCTATATGTATATATATATAT